AAACTGCATATTTCTGGAATTTTATTGGTTCAGTGTAGGTCTCTGATTATTACAAAGGAATCCCTAATAGAGAATGTAAAAGTAATCAAGAAAACAGGCTGGACGCGGTGGCTCACGCCTGTAATCCTAGCACTCTGGGAGCGAGCAGGCGGGAGCTCAAGGTCAGAGTCGAAACGCCTGAGCAAGAGCGAGACACCCCAGCTTTAATAGAGGAATTAATGGCCAACTCAATATATATAGAAAAAAAAGAATTAGCCAGGCATGGTGGCGCATGCCTGTCGCTCCCGCTCTCAGGAGGCTGAGGCAGGAGAGTTGCTTAAGGTCCAGGAGATTGAGTGCTGTGAGCTAGGCTGACACCATGCACTCACTCTAGCCTGGGCAACAAAGTGAGACTCTGTCTCAAAAAAAAAAAAGAAAGAAAAGAAAAGAAAACAAGGTTAGAAGCATGAATTGCAGTCATCTCTGAGCCTGCAATTCCACTTCTAGGATTTTATATTGTGGACCTAATCATGTAAATGAACAGAAATATCAATACATGTGCAAGAATGTTTATTGCACCAATTATTGTAATAAGAGAAATACAGAAAACACCTAAATATCTATAATAAATTAAGGAAAAGTCATATAATAAAATATGATGCAGATATTAAAATGATTTAGGAGATCCGTTATGTTGTCTTTAATATTAAGACTATAAAAGTTTTAAAACATACTTCTGTGGAGATTTTCAGAAAAAAAAAAAGTTTTAAAACAGTATATCTTAAACTATAACACATGTATGAACACAGTACATTTATGAACGTTTACAAAAAGAATTAAGAGTGATTGCACCTTCTACCTTTCCAGTCACTGATTTTGCTGAACTATTAACACCTATTACTCAAAGGAGTTAATGTAGTCTAGGAGTTAAGAACATAGACTCTTACGCCAAACTGCCTGAGTCCAAGCGTAGCCTCATTAATTACTATCTTTGTTATTTTGGCAAGTTCTTTAGTTTTTTTTTTTTGAGACAGAGTCTCACTCTGTTGCCTGGGCTAGAGTGCCGTGGTGTCAGCCTAGCTCACAGCAACCTCAAACTCCTGGGCTCAAGCGATCCTCCTGCCTCAGCCTTCTTAGTAGCTGGGATTACAGGCACGTGCCACTGCGCCTGGCTAATTTTTTCTAATTTTAGTTGTTTGGCTAATTTCTTTCTATTTATAGTAGAGACAGGTCTCTCTCTTGCTCAGAGCTGGTTTCGAACTCCTGACCTTGAGCAATCCTCCCGCCTCAGCCTCCCAGAGAGCTAGGATTACAGGTGTGAGCCACCGTGCCCGGCCTGTTTATATTTATTTTAGTCTATAGAAATGATGTCAGACAAAAAGCAAATTTGAGCGATTTTCTTATTCGAGTTCAAAATATGACGAAAAGCAGCGGACACAACTTGTAACATCAACAATGCATTGGCCCGGGAACTGCTAATGAACGTACAATACAGTGGTGGTTCAAGAAGTTTTGCAAAGGAGACAAGAGCCTTGAGGATGAGGACGCAGTGGCCGGCCATCAGAAGTTGACAAAAACGATCAACTGAGAGCAATCATTGAAGCTGATCTTCTGACAACTACGTGAGAAGCTGCCGAAGAACTCACCGTGGACCATTCTATGGTCATTTGACATTTGAAGCAAATTGGAAAGGTGAAAAAGTTGCAATAAGTGGGTGCCTCATCAGTTGACTGAAAATCAAAATAATCATCATTTTGAAGTATTGTCTTCTCTTATTGTATGCAACAACGGACAAACCATTTCTCGGTCAGATTGTGATATTCAAGGAAAAGTGGATTTTATCTAACAACCAATGGAGACCAGCTCAGTGGTTGGGCTGAGAAGAAGCTCTAAAGCACTTCCCAAAGCCAAACTTGCACCAAAAAAAAAGGTCATGGTCACTGTTTGGTGGTTTGCTGCCGGTGTGATCCACTACAGCTTTCTGAATCCTGGTGAAACTATTGCATCTGAGAAGTATGCTCAGCAAATCGATGAGCTACACTGAAAACTGCAATGCCTGTAGCCAGCACTGGTCAACAGAAAGGGCTCAATTCTTCTTCCTGACAATGTCCGACTGCACATCGCACGATCAATGCTTCAAAAGTTGAACGAATTAGGCTATGAAGTTTTGCCTTATCTGCCATGTTCGCCTGACCTCTCACCAAACCGATACCACTTTAAGCATCTTGACAATTTTTTGCAGGGAAAATGCATCCACAACCAGCAAGATGCAGAAAATGCTTTCCAAGATTTTGTTGAATCCTGAGGCACGGATTTTTACATTACAAGAATAAACAAACTACCCTGGGAGGCCAAGGCGGGAGGATTGCTCAAGGTCAGGAGTTTGAAACCAGCCTGAGCAAGAGACCCCGTCTCCACTAAAAATAGAAAGAAATTAATTGGCCAACTAAAAATATATAGAAAAAATTAGCCGCGCATGGTGGCGCATGCCTGTAGTCCCAGCTACTCGGGAGGCTGAGGCAGTAGGATCGCTGAGCCCCGGAGATTGAGGTTGCTGTGAGCTAGGCTGACGCCACGGTACTCACTCTAGCCTGGGCAACAAAGTGAGACTCTGTCTCAAAAAAAAAAAGAGTTAGCTGACTTGACTAAATGAAAGAAATAGATGGTTAAGCAGGAGCTAGAACCAAATTCTTTCCACAGTACTACTCTACTTTTCCCCACCCCTATCAAAAGGTAACATGGCTTGCTGCAGTAACTTGAATGAATCATAGTGTCAATAAATTAGTAGGTTATGCTTATAGATTCTGTATACAACTTATTTCCTCAAAAAAAGTTCACCATTAATCAGTTTATTATGCAGTCATAGAAAGTTTTTAAAGACCATGTAATAAAATTTTAATGGAAATATAGAAAATAACAAAACTGAATGCACAACTAATTCTGGATAAATTTCAGCCTTTGTTTTCAAAAACTGCCTCTCCCTTTTTTCTGTAACTCCTATCAGATGTATGTTCAATCTTCTTACCCCATCTTAGGTTCTCAAATGTTTTGCTACTTTAATATCTTCAGATCTACTTTCCAGTTTACTAATTCCATCTCGGGCTCTGTCAAATCTTCTATTTAATCTTTCCATCTGTCCAATGATTTATTTATTTTTTAAATTATTAGTTTTGCTCACTGCCACCTCAAATTCACGGGCCGAAGCGATCCTGAGTAGCTGGGACTACAGGTGTGCACCACCACACCCTGCTCATTTTTCTATTTTTTGTAGAGTTGTAGTCTCTTGCTCAGGCTGGTTTCAAACTCCTGACCTCAAGTGATTCTCCCAGTTTGGCCTCCCAGAGTGCTAGGATTACAGGCATGAGCCATGGTGCCCAGCCCAGTGGTTTTTTTTTTTTTTTTTTTTTTGAGACAGTCTGGCTCTGTTGCCCAGGCTAGAGTTCTTGGGCATCAGCCCAGCTCACAGCAACCTCAAACTCCTGGGCTCAAGCAATCCTCCTGCCTCAGCCTCCCAAGTAGCTGGGACTACAGGCATGTGCCACCACGCCCCGCTAATGTTTTCTGTATATATTTTTAGTTGTCCAGATAGTTTCTATTTTTAATACAGTGTCTCGATCATGCTCAGGCTGGTCTCGAACTCCTGACCTCAAGTGATCCTCCCACCTCGGCCTCCCAGTGTGCTAGGACCCAGTGGTTTTTTAAATTTCAAATGATTATATTAATTCTCAGATGTTCTAATAGGTTCCTTTTCAAATCTGCCCGGTTGGGCACCCCCCCCCACAGTATTTTGCCCTTAATATTTTTAAATCCTTTATTTTAAAAAATATCTTTCAAAGCATCTATCATATTACTCAATTATCTGAAATCCCAATTAGATCCTAGGGGTCTGATTCTTCTGTTTTTAAAAAATGTGCTTTCACTTATAATGAATTATTTTGTAATTACTTTTAAAAAGTGTATAATCAGTGGGGCTTTATTTATGGGAAAGCTGTTCAGCCTGAATGGACAGAGGACTTCTGCAATGCCTTTGCATTTGCTTCTGCCAGTTCCAACTTTTATGCATTTTTTTTTTTTTTTGCTTGTAGTTTCCTGGATATAAAAATTCAACCCCCTAAAGTATCTGTGGTGCCGGATCTATGATCACAAGTTTTCAGTAGAAACACTTTTCTCCAGCTGGAGCCCAGCCTCCTTGTTTGTGCCTATATCTGTGTTTTCTTGGCCTTTTGCTCCCCCTGACGACATAGCCTTTGGAGGGCTCTAGTCCCAACCCAAGCCTCCCTACTCTATCAGCCCCCTATTTGTTTCAGGTTCCTGGGGATTTCCTTCACATTGTTGTGAGATCAGCCATGCATATAAAAGGACACTTGTCATATTTTCCTAGCTTTTTAAGGTATATTTGGATGGGGGAGGTGGGGATTTCAAGTTCATTTGCTCACTGTATAGATGGAATTGGAAGGCCTCCATCCTAAATTGCAAGTGTGTAAACATATTATATCAGCAAGCAATGGTAACAAATGTGTTTGAGGGCTGGAACTGGAGACGAAGCCTTTCTTTTAAAGATTGCTTTTAGGCCAGGCACGGTGGCTCACGCCTGTAATCCTAGCACTCTGGGAGGCCAAGGCAGGAGGGTTGCTCAAGGTCAGGAGTTCAAAACCAGCCTGAGCAAGAGTGAGACCCCGTCTCTAATAAAAACATAAAGAAATTAATTGGCCAACTAAAAATATATATATAAAAAATTAGCCGGGCATGGTGGCGCATGCCTATAGTCCCAGCTACTCGGGAGGCTGAGGCAGGAGGATTGCTTGAGCCCAGGAGTTTGAGGTTGCTGTGAGTTAGGCTGACACCATGGCACTCTAGGCGGGGCAACAGAGTGAGACTCTATCTCAAAAAATAAAAAATTTAAATTTAAAAAACTGCCTTTAATATTGTAATGTAATGCAATTCAGGGGGAAAAAAAGAGCTGACCTAAATAAAACTATTACCTAAGCTAAAAGAAAGAAAAACAGGATCCACAGCACAAGTTTGGGGGGGGTAAATGTTTATTAAACCAAGCTTTTAAACTATATATCCACCTATAGTCTGTAAACAAATACAGTACATCTGTAAGTAAAAGGCTAGCAGAGAAGAACTCATGGAAAACTAAAGTTCCCTTTGTATATCAGCTCCTCACACAACACCTTCCTCCTGTTGATGTCATGGGGCCATGTTATAGTTAAGAGTTAAATGAAAAACCAGAAGTTTAGCTCAACTCCATCTCCTGGGTTGGATTTCGGGATAGTTATTTGCTCTACATTATAGTAGGGTGGATTATAGCAAGGCAACAGTGTAGTTTTTACATTCACAGATTGGCTGGAATAGTACAAATTAAACTTTGAATCTAGGTGTCTCCCTCCCTATTACCATAATTAATAAGAAATGTAAATTAAAATAAATGATGGACCACAGATGATTACAAAAATAGATAACTCGCAGAGTAATAAATATCTATAGTTAGCAAAGCATAAACTTATAAAATTTTCCTTTTTCCATAATGTGCAGAATATTTTAAGTATGTTCAATAGGTCCAGTCAGCAGGCTCCAGAGTGGTAACAGTGTGGGCATTTATTTACAGAAAAAGACACTCAAGTACAAAACCCAGAGTAGGAAGCTGAATGTAGATGAGAATATACAAAACACACAAAATCCTAACTCCTCATATCTCATCCTTCTTAATAGACACCACAAGGAGCTTACAGCCCTTTATGTACCTTAAAGAGTAACTCTGTTACCTACGTACAAACTTTAAAAAAGATTTATCATGGGACAGACAAAACTGATTACCTTAATGGTGGCAAGAAAACCACTAAGACCTGTAGCATTTTGTGTGCTTTCATATACTTCTGTGTATGGGGCTTTAAAATGCCCCCCCAAAAGTGTTTTTGACAGAGTTTTAAAAATTCCCATGAAAATCTATTCTGGGGGGGTGGAGGCGAGGAGGAGGCCAAAATCTTACAAAGTAACTGAAACTTCATGAATATGTAAACTACATTCATATGTTCCTTTAACACATATCAAGTGGTATTCAAGGTAACTGTATAATGCTACTCTGAAACCAATCTCATTTCAAAGGTACAGTAATTCCCATTTTGATTCTAGAATTAAAAGCACTTATTCCACATAATGTGCGTTTCAGCGATGCTGACATCTATTTATCGTATGACAGTGCCGCCTTAAAGCTTCAAAGATTCACGGCAGGCCTGAACTGTAAAAGTTCAGCACCGACAATACCACAGGGAGTTACTCATCCTAGTTTCTTGCAGGGAGTGAAGAAGGGTCTGCTTGAGTTGTCCTAAGGTCACCTCAGCCCAGAACAGTGTTCCCCGGAAACTTGCCAAAGTTTCCTTGCCAAAAAATGTCTATAGTGTTACATGTTTGGGACTTGCTGGGTTAAGTAAACAGGCTCCCCTGACATGTTAACTAACATACATCCCACACCTGGGAGAGGGGTGTATAGATGCAGCTTTTCCCAAATTCACTTGACCTTTCCGGGGAACACCTGCAACAACCACTGGCTCTAAGGACACTGGTTTCCTAGGGAACACGGTTTGAGGAATGCCAGGCTAAAGTAAAGTTTCTAAAGTAGTGGTTCTTAGATTGTAGTGAGCGTCAGAAACACATGGAAGACACGCTGAAGCCCAGACCTCACCTGCAGGAGGCCACCTCCTGTGGCCTCAGGAAAGGCTGTGCACGGTGTTTGCCACAGCCAGGCAGCTGGAGGTCAAATCAGCCCAGTGACTTCTTAGAGGGTCTTGCACCTTGACGCTACACTTGGCTGCTGGCTCTGTCCCTGCTCACCCGGTGACCAGGCAACTGCATCTTACCAAGAGTGTGCAACAGCAGCCCCTCTCAGAGGATCTGTGAGGCTTAAGAGAAACGTGTGCAAAAAAGCACTTAGACTAACCAAAAGCATCACACAAGTGTCTGTTGTTAATCAGAAGAATGTGCCAGTCACAGCAGGAAAATCCCAGGTGAGTTTTCTGTCTTCTGCCTCTGCTGAGCCTTTACAGAAGCACATTCTGACATCTAACGAAGAGGAAAAAAGGCTAAAAATGCATAAATCTGCAGTGAGAGGAAAATATATAAGTGGATCATCTAATTTAAAATATCTAATTGTTAAAAAAAAAAAGATCAACCCACATAGTAGTTCATTATGCTGGCTTTGAGATAGTGTTTAAAAGTTAAGTCTGTTGATCTTTGAACACATTCACTCCTCCACTCTAACTACCAGGTTAATGCTGGTTAAATTTCAACATCAAAAGAATGAGGAAAAAAAAAAAATTCCCCCCACTCATATACGTATGAATGATATCTAACAAATTTAGCTGAGATAGTTCCAATCTTATAAACTACCACAGTGGGGAGATTTCAAAAGCAATCTTTAAAAAGGACATTTAATTTTGGTTCATAGAAACATCCACAGAATGAGAAAGAAACATACACACACACACACACACACACACACACCACACACACATTCAGTTGTTGCCCAGTATGTCTTAGCCAATGAACTGCCTCTCATAATTTAAAAATGAACCTGTAAAAATTCATACATATCCATGATGGGATTACAGTCAAGCAAACATCATGTTGCCAGGTCCTCATTTCCACACGAGTCCAAAAGATTGATCAGGAAGGCAGAATTTTCCCCTGCGAGTTGCATGATTCACTCTATATATGTTCTGGATGGCTCTGGAGACAGGACAACATCTCCTGGACGGGCCTGCCTTCGTAGCAGATCTGATATACTGCAGTAAACAGCGGAAACCTAGTTGGGAGGAAATGTGAAAAGGCAAGGTTAGGCCATGTGGTTTACCTCACAGAACAAATTAGTTTTTTTCTGTCCTGCCTAACGGATTGCAGATGAGTATGCTACTTTGATAAACGCAGTGACCACTTTCTTCATTCCTTTATTATTTGGTCTGCAGGGAGCCTCTGCCCGGTGGCTGTCACACCTCGGCATAACCATCGTCAGCCTGATTAAGTCTGGAGTGCACTGTCTACAAACGAGTCACACGGTAACCCTTCCAGGGTATAAGCTGTGGTCATTTACATAAAGAGCTGTGGCTCAGGCTCTCGGTCAAACCTGGAATGAGTCCAAGCTTCTGTCAATATTTTAAAAGATGGGAGAGTAAATTTTAAAATTGCAAGGAGGTATTGCCCTCCCTTCTCCAGAAAGGATCATCCCAAGATGATGATGAGGCAACCCACACATCACCATAAATAATCCAGGCCTGGAACGCTCCCGCAAGATTCAAAGTGAGGGCCCACAGTTAGCCAAGCACTGATCTCATGTCGGAAGCTTGATTTATTTTGCCTTTTGTTCTTAAGATGTGAATACAGATATTAAGTGAAAGTTTGAAATGGATGAGGGTACAAAGGAGTGGGCTAATAAGCCATTACATGAAGAGATAACATTATGCCAAGGTTCAGCTGGCTCAGCAAGCATTTTTTTTTATAGCAGCAATCACTAAAGAAATAACTAATTTCAATCAGCCTTTTAAACACACACACACACACACACACACACACACAGCCCAAAGTGAGCTTAGCAGAATCAATAGAGTCTTACAGGCCATTCTGAAAATTAGCTGGGCAGACTCCTGTAATGACAATTTAATTTAAGAAGAGCAAATAGTACTAAGAGATCACATGCCTTTATGAGAGTCTATTGTTACAGGTTTTTCTTTTCTTTTTCTTTCTTTTTAGAGACACGCAGGCTGGAGTGCAATGACGTGGTACACTCAAAGCTCACTGCAGCCTTGTACTCCTATGCTCAAGTGATCCTCTGCCTCTGCTTCCCAACTAGCTAGGAATACAGGCATGTGCCACCATGTCCGGCTAATTTTTAAAATTCTTTTTGTAGAGGTAGGGTCTCAATAGGTTGCCCAGGCTGGTCTTGAATTCCTGGGTTCAAGCAATCCTCCTGTCTCAGCCCCTCAAAGTGCTGAGATTATAGGCAAGAGCCACCCACCATGCAGGCCTTGGTTTTTCATTTATATGTATGTATATATGTATATGTGTTTGTGTATATATATATGTATATATACATATATATTTTTAAAATATTTTCCCCCCAAAAGATGCCATTGAGAAAAATTGCAGGTTTTTCAAGGTGTGGAATGTTTTGTTATTTTTTGGAGTCAGGTAGACTTTTTAAAAATCTGATCCTAATTGCCTATTAATTCTGAATAAGTTTCACAACCCCTTTGACCCAGTTTGCTCATCTGTAAAATGGAGTTGAATAAGTAAGTCTGTTGTATTAGATGACTTACATGTAAAGTGTACAGTTCAACACTTGGCAAATGGTGGGTATGCAATGATGACAGCTTTTAAATGCAGCCACAAGATGGTCATGGGGTCCTGGACTCTAAGCTCCATGAGGACAGGGCCCAAGTCCCCAAGTCTCTTTTGTTCACCACGGCATCCTCAGTGCCTGGCACAGGACATGGCAGAGGGCCGGTGCTCAGTGAGTATTTGTTGAATAGATTCCTGTGAATGGGATTTAAAGCCACCCCCCCCCCACACACACCTTTTTCTTGTCCTTCCATGTCTTAGTGTCCCTGTTCCTAAAACAAGAACAATGTGTATGTCTCCAAAGCAGTGTGGCAGGTGATGACTGGCTATCTAGAATTAGCCAAGTAACCCAGTTCTAGCCAGCAAGATATAATACATGTGCTCAAGGTTTCTAGGGGAAGATAGTTCTCTCTTTGAAAGGCACTGGAGGAGAAAGCTGCTAGCCCAGATTGCTCTTGCTCCTTTCCCGAGTGCAGTGTGTGCGTATGTGATGTCTGGAGCTGCTGCAGCCATCTTGAGGTCCCAGGGAAGGCCAAGTTCACTGAGATTCTAATCCAGAGCCACTGAGCCAAGACCAATATTGTCCACCTCCACACTCCTTGTTATAACTGAACATTGCTCTTATAGCTGAAAGCATGCCCCAACTTTAAAAACTTGCGTTTCCAAAATGCATTCTGTAGATAGGATGTGAGCAAGAGATGCACAGTATGTGTGGGAGGGTGCATTTCTACAGACAAGTAACTCGTTTAATCCTCAAAACTACTGTATGAGGTAGAAAATAATATCATCCCCATTCTATAGATGGGGAAACTGAGGCACAGTTTCTGATTCTGGAGCCAACACTCAACCATGAGGCCATAATGACCATCTAAATATTATTTTCTATAATGCAAAACACTACAAAAGACCAATTAGATCAGTTTGGGGGCACAATCTAAATTGGTCATTGGTGAAAGGAGGACAAAAGATACTGCATAGGAAAAAACTGACATAAATCAGTCAGCCAGCCATCCCACTAATGGATACTGATGAGTTAAGATGTCAGGCTTCAGACTAGATACAGGGATGTGCAGTGTTAGAAATCAGGCCCACGCCTGTAATCCTAGCCCTCTGGGAGGCCAAGGTGGGAGGATCACTCAAGGTCAGGAGTTTGAAACCAGCCTGGGCAAGAGCGAGACCCTGTCTCTACTAAAAAAAAATAGAAATAAAATTAATTGGCCAACTAAAAATATATAGAAAAAATTAGCCGGGCATGGTGGCACATGCCTGTAGTCCCAGCTACTTGGGAGGCTGAGGCAGGAGGATTGCTTGAGCCCAGGAGTTTGAGGTTGCTGTGAGCTAGGTGACGCCACGGCACTCTAGCCCAGGCAACAGAGTGAGACTCTGTCTCAAAAAACAAAACAAAACAAACAAACAAACAAAAAAAACCACAAAGAACTCAGGCCCGGAGCTCAAGGAGCTACGACACTGTTGTGGGCAGAATTGTGTGATCGCCCTCCCCCTCCGTACCAGCTTCAGTCTGTGTCCCCGTAGCTAACAATGAATACAGACTAAGGCCCGGCCAACCTGCTAAGCCACAGAATCCTATCAAAGGCACCTCTTGGCAGCACGCAGACGGCACTCGAAAATCCTGGTTGGGAGATTCTTATTATCACCAAACACCCCCGTATTTTTTTTTAAGACTTTAAAATGTTTCGGCCATGGTCATTACATTGGCTCAACCGCAAACAAACACATCACCGTGTGCTGCTAAGTCGGTAAGGAAAACCATATTATGTCAAAGGCATTTTCCTTTTAGTCACGATTGAAAGGTAGTTTAAATCCTCCTTTGACAGCCTGTTTATGAACTTCCATCTCTGCCTGGCTAGTTTTAAAATCCATTTCAGAAAAATAAAATGCAAATTAAAGAAGGAAGACAAGCGCCCTATCCACCCTCATTTTCAACCCGCAGTAGGGACTCTGTACTCTACTGGGTAAAGGAGGAGCGGTGGGTGCAGGGGGAGGTACAGATGCATGGTTGGGACCAGCAGACACCCAGACTGGCAGAACGAGGATGAAAGAGCTGCAACCAGAGACAGCAGCAGAGGGATCTGCGACCCATTTCCCGGCGTGGAGAGAAATGCATGCTGGGTGTTAGCCTCAAGTGGCCATCAGGACAGGTGCCCAGTTCCCTCCAATGGTAGGCAACCAAACTTTCCCTCTCCCAGGGGGTATTATAGAAGACACAGGGATACAGATGATACACTGCATGAGCATTTATAAGGCGGCGTAGTTGGCATCAGGATTATGGGAGAAGGCTCAGTAAATGAGCAAAGGGTTGTGCAGCAGGTAGGGCTGGGGAGAGGCCTCCGAGAGGTTGGGCTTCAGGTTGCAAATCGAGCTGACTCAAGCCCACCTTTCACACCTGCCTGGCCTAGAAGGGCAGTGAAGGATAGATGCTTCCACCCATCCACCCAGCCACTCATCCACCCACCCACGCATTTATCCACCATCCATACAACAAAGAGACTACAAAGCTGAGCACCAAACCTTAACACAGTTCCCTTCTAACAGTAGCATTTTGGGCTAATTTGTCCTTCTTTTTTGTATTTTGAGGTTTCTTTTTAATCTGCATGCGTCAATTATCTATTGAAACAATAATCTTAAAATGTGTGCATAGGAAGCCAAGGCAGGTGGATCGCTCAAGGTCAGGAGTTCGAAACCAGCCTGAGCAAGAGCGAAACCCCGTCTCTACTAAAAATAGAAAGAAATTAATTGGCCAACTAAAAATATATAGAAAAAATTAGGCGGGCATGGTGGCGCATGCATGTAGTCCCAGCTACTCAGGAGGCCTGAGGCACAAGGGATCGTCTTCAGCCGCAGAGTGTTGAGGTGCTGTGAGCTAGGCTAACACCACGGCACTCTAGCCTGGGCAACAAAGTAAGACTCTGCCTCCAAAAAAAAAAAAACAGTATGCTTAGGGACAAACCATAAAACTGTACCAACTGAATCCTAGATCCTCTTCCCCCAGGGCAGCCCATTCTTGGTTCTTTGTCCTTCCTCTTTTCCTGCATTTTTGACATTTTATTAACATGACTACATCTTTTTATAAAAAAAAAAAAGTAATTGTTTTTGAAAAATTTAAAACGTATGGCATGTAGCTCTTACCAAACACCTGCATGACAAGCTATAGTCTAAAACATCTTATTTTATAACATGCCTTATAGGATTGAGCTCTTCCCGCTGAAGTTGAACCTGGTTTTGTGTAAACACTCATTCTGAGGGTAGGAGAATGCTTCCTGCTAGAGACATGCTCATCACGCAGAGGACTCAACGAATCCAGTAAAGTTCTAAGTGTGCTTGTCAAGTCGTTAGGCTCATCTGCCCGGGGCTGGAGTGGTGAGACCTGGGATGGCGAACGTTTCTCTGGTCTCAGGGGCAACGGGATGACTTACTTGTCCAGCAGTCCCTTCTGCTTGAGGATGCGGTACACTTCGGCAGAAGTCTGAGGTCCCTGGAGCTTCTGCCCGTTCAGCATCTCCTTTTCCAATTCTTCAATGGTCTTAAAAACACAAAGGATAAACAAGAAAATCAACAGTAGAGACTAGAGAATCACTTCTTCCAAGAGGAGGGTGTGGGGGAGGGCTGCGATTCCCTGCTACAAGCCAGGGAAAGGCAGTGACATATGAGATAAAGGACAGAAGGGTTGGCCGGGAGCTGTGGCTCACGCCTGTAATCCTAGCACTCTGGGAGTGCCGAGGTGGGCGGATGGCTCAAGGTCAGGAGCTGGAAACCAGCCTGAGCGAGACCCCGACTCTACCAAAAATAGAAAGAAATTAATTGACCAACTAAAAATAGATATATACAAAAAATTACGGCCAGGGCAGGTGGCGCATGCCTGTAGTCCCAGCTCATCGGGAGGCTGAGGCAGGAGGATCGCTTGAGCCCAGGAGTTTGAGGTTGCTGTGGAGGCTGACGCCACAGCACTCACTATAACCTGGGCAACAAAGTGAGACTCTGTCTCAAAAAGAAAAAAATAAAATAAAAAAGGACAAAAGGGTCCAGTGAAAGCAGCAGGGTCCCCGGGACAACCCCAGCTAACGGCAGACAGGCGCCGTGTTGATCTCCATGCCGCGGGGCTGGGGCTGACCCCCACCCAGGAGCCTCGGTGAGGAAGGAGTGGGGCGGCGGGGCTGGAGCCCCGGTGAGGAAGGAGTGGGAGGCGGCGGGGCGGGATCCCGTGAGGAAGGAGTGGGGGCGCAGTGAGAGAAGGGGGGACGGCGGCGTGAGAAGGAGTGGGCGGCGCCAGTGAGGAAGGATGGGGGCGGCGGTGAGGAAGGAGTGGGGGGCCGGTGAGGAAGAGTGGGGGCGCGGTGAGGAAGGAGTGGGGGGCGGCGGTGAGGAAGGAGTGGGGGGCGGCGGGGCGGGAGCCCGGTGAGGAAGGAGTGGGGGCGCCAGTGAGGAAGGAGTGGGGGGCCCCGGTGAGGAAGGAGTGGAGGCCCCGGTGAGGAAGGAGTGGGGCCCCGGTGAGGAAGGAGTGGGGGGGCGGCGGTGAGGAAGGAGTGGCGGACCCGGTGAGGTGAGGAAGGAGTGGGGGCGGCGGGGCAGGGGCAGGCGAGCGGCTACCTTCCCGGTTCTGGCGAAGGCCTCGGCCACCCTGCGGTTCCGGCCTCCGTAGCAGGTGGTGATGAGGTCGGCCACGCCGCAGCTCTCCAGGAAGGTGGCAGTGGACACCCGGCCCTTGCAGAAGATCCTGGCGAAGGCAATCATTTCCATGAGCCCCAGGCGGATGACGGCGGCCTTGGTGTTGTCTCCGCAGCGCAGGCCGTCGCAGAACCCGGCCCCCACGGCCACGATGTTCTGCAAAGGAGGCGACAGGGCGCAGACGCCGTCAGGGCTCCCGCAGAGGGTGGGGGTTTGCGGGGCGGCGCGCGAGGTGAGGCAGGGACAGACCCGGGACGCTGGCCCTGCCCTCCTAACCCAAAGAAGACACGGCCTTCTGCGTTCCCATTTATAGGACAGAGAGCCCACATTTAGGGTCAGTAGCAAGCAGCCACTGAGGAGCCCTGGCCAGAGCACTGGAACAGATGACAACGGTCTTTGCTTAAATACTATTTGGACCTTCTGAGTTTTTGTTTTTTTTTTAATTGAATGCTTTATGCAACTGTTAACATTCATAAGGAAAGTTCACAAATCCTAAGTGTACAGCTTGATAAATTTTCACAAACCGAACACGCCACGTAGCCGGCACCACGATCAAAAACCAGAACACAACCAGTGGCCACTACCAAAGGGAACCGCTCTCCTCACCTCTCGGGGCACAGATTTGTTTTACACGTCTTTCAACTTTAAAGGAGTGGAACGATACAGTACGTAATCTTTTGTGTCTAGCTTCTTTTTCAACATCATGCTTGGCCGGGCGCGGTGGCTCACACCTGTAATCCTAGCACTCTGGGAGGCCAAGGCAAGAGGATTGCTCGAGGTCAGGAGTTCAAAACCAGCCTGAGCAAGAGAGTGAGACCCTGTGTCTACTAAAATTAGAAAGAAATTAATTGGCCAGCTAATATATACAGAGAAAATTAGCCGGGCATGGTGGCGCCCTGCCTGTAGTCCCAGCTACTTGGGAGGCTGAGGCAGGAGGATCACTTGAGACCAGAGTTTGAGGTTGCTGTGAGCTAGGCTGATGCCACGGCACTCTAGCCCGGGCAACAGAGTGAGACTTTGCCTTAGAAAACAAAAACAAAAACGAAGCTGACAATCTAGATATCTAGATGAGAGATGAGACACAGCCAAGCCTATCACAAGGCAGAAGGAAGAGAGTGTGCTGACAGACAAGAAGAGCCAGAAGCTTCATTTCAAAGCAGGGATGGCTGCATGGGGGAGGTGACATCTGAGCTGGGCCTTGAATACTATATGTAGAAGTCAGATTACCACACATTTGACAAGGCCTAGCTACACAGATGGCATTCAATTGGGACTTCAATTACCTGTGCCCACCCACACCCCCTGGCTCCTGGCTCCTGGCTCCTGGGTCCTTTACTTTCCCAGTTCCTTCACCAAGAACACTCTAGCCACACTAACAATTTCCAGTAATACCTGGTGATCTTATAGGGATTTGTGACTTGGGAAATCTTAAAACATGAAGCTATTTAGTAATGAATATGAAATATAAGTTAAAATAACTATTTTTTCCCCTCCAAAAACCCATGTTTTATTAATGAAAGAATAACATTTCTTACAACATCAGGCCTATAAAATCTAAGGGATGCAGTGGAAAATGGAATGAACTGGGTAGTAATAAATTCTTTGCGGGTTTCCGTGCAGTTTTTTGATAAAACACATCAAACATAGCATTGGTGTGGCCAGGCTGGTCATGAGAAACAGATCTGGTGGTTTAGAGACAGCTACGACTCCTGGGGAGACTAAGTCACGAAGCTACTTCGCGTGAAAAGAAAACCCCTGATTGGCCCTCCTGAAGCCTCTGTCTCTACTTCCAACTGACTGATCACACAGAGCCCCCTTCCTCCCGCTTCCACAATTGCGGGCATGGGGAGGGCTAGGGTATGCAAGGTCAAGGGTGCGGAGGGCCCTACCTTGTGCTGCTTCTCTTCCTCAGTAACCATCCTAGAGCTTACCTTGGTTGCTGGCTACTCCTCTCACGGCTGCTGACACAGAAAGGAAAAAGTAGAGAGATTCTCTAAAAATGATCAGGAAGCTGGCATGAACTTGTGCGGGTTTTACACAAATTCACGCTACTTCTGTGTCCTAGCCCACCAGCCGGGGAGCTTAGGAGCGCTGCTAACAGACCAGCGCGGTAGCTTCCAATCAACCTGCAACTACAGATGCAGGCAGAGAGGAGGGGGAACCAGGTCTTGTGAATTAGTAGCCTGACCAGCGAGAGCATGTCCTCGTGAGGTGTCGATTTCTACCTGCATTTGCCAAAGCTCCGCAAACCCCTCCCCACCGCGCACGGGCTTTGCAAGCTGTGGGTTCGTCACCTCCCAGGCAGCAATCATCCCAGACTTCCTGCTGCCTGCGCAGTGACAGTGGAAGGGGGCCATTGCTGGCACTCTCAGCATCTGACACCGCATGACATTTGCATGAAAAGGAGAGGGAGAGGCAGTAATGAACGGAGCATGAAAGATGCGGAGGGGTCAGGTGGGACCTGGTTCTGTTACTCTGCTCCAGAAGGGGCGAGCTCCTGAGTCACAAGGGAACACCCGGACCGTTTAGGATGGACGCTATGCAGGCACTAAGAGCTGGGACTACTAGAACACTCAAGGCTGACCCACCCAGGCCCACCAGACACCCCTCCCAGTATAGCAGCCAGGCCAAGGAAGCTACTGGGTGGCACAAGGGGCACACTGACATCCATTGGGCTTCCAGTTCTCACTCTGCCCCTTTGCTGTGTGACCTCAGGCTAATCACTCGACCTCCCTGGGCCATGTTTTGCTAAGATATAAAACTCAGGGCTTTGAAAATATTTTTCAAGGTCCTCCTGGTGGCGACATTCCTCCGGGGAAGCTGGTGAAACTGTGGCCTGCCGTGAGGCTGCAGATAGTAAAGGGACAATGTGCACAGGGACTGACCACAGAGGCCCTGAGGTGAGCTACTGGGTGACTGGCCAAATGGTTTTATTGAAGTTGCCCTGGCCTCATGCTTAGGATTGGGACTGTTGGCCAAGAGGCCAGATTCCTGAAATTGCTCTCTGATACCTCCTGGACTGTGTCTCTTCGTCCCACCGTACCCAGCTGCAACACAACCCATTCTGAAACAGTTACAGGACAAAGCAGTCCCAGGAAATGTCTCCAGACTGAATGGGGGAAAACGAGGACTTCCGTGAACATCGGGCTCCCATAAACAGAGGAGCGAGCTGGCTCGGGCCTGTCACATACACATTGCCTCCTCTGAATTCTTTTTTTTTTTTTTTTGAGACAGAGTCTCGCTTTGTTGCCCAGGCTAGAGTGAGTGCCGTGGCATCAGCCTAGCTCACAGCAACCTCAATCTCCTGAGCTCAAGCAATCCTTCTGCCTCAGCCTCCCAAGTAGCTGGGACTACAGGCATGAGCCACCATGCCCGGCTAATTTTTTCTATATGTATTAGTTGGCCAATTAATTTCTTTCTATTTGTGATAGAGACAGCGTCTCGCTCTTGCTCAGGTTGGTTTTGTTGAACTCCTGACCTCAAGCAATCTGCCCACCTCATCCTCCCGGAGAGCTAGGATTACAGGCGTGAGCCACCGCGCCTGGGCATGAATTCTTGAGGACTCTGTGAGGCAGGAGATGCCCCCTGTGCCTTGCTGTTTCCACAGTGTGCAAAATGTGCCCTCCCCCGGGGTCGGAGACCCTGCTGACCCTCTGCAATCAGGTGTCAAAGAGGGTACCTCCCTGGCCTGCAGGAGACTTGGCAGGTAAAAAGGGTGGCAAGATTTGCCAGGAGAAATACTAAAAATAGCAACAGCTAACCTCACTGAACTCCATATATGAACTTGTTTAAACCTCACAACATTCCCACAAGGCAGGTGCTGTAATCACACGCAACGGGAGACAGGGAGACTGAGGCACAGAGTGCGTAGCTTGCCCAAGGAGATCACACCACAGCCTGCTGCTCTCGGGCCAGTGAGTGAAAGGCACAGAGAAGCCGCCACAGAGTCCAGATAAGACCTTTCAAACGGGAAGAGCCGATCCCACCCAGCCGGGAAGACTTAGCAAGAGCTCTCTGTTACTGGAACCATCCGAGCAGGGCTGTGTGGCCAGGCCCTGAGCTCCAAACCTGAGCTTTTGTGTTGCTGGACTCAGAAAAGGCAGATAAGGAACCAGGCGGGCAGATGAGGGTGCCTGGGGGACCCAGTCACTCTCTTAGCCTCTCTGTGACCTCTTCCCCTCGGGGCACAAGGGTGTGGACCACTTCAAAGCTTCCACTAGCCAGCTAACCTCCCCACCATGGGGAGCAGGTGGCCTCCTCCAGGGAAAACTCTCTTCCACGAGGACCCTGCGCCACAACCCGGTTTAATCGATAGCCTTAGGATGGAGCTTGAGATGCTCGCTCTCCCCCTCCACCACTTATCACTGTCAAAAGAAAAATAAATACACGGAGCCAGTCAGAGCGTGTTTGAATAGCATCCGAGCAGATGTCCTCTGAGATCACTCAGCTGTGAAAGTTATCATTATCCACTGTGCATTTAAATCTGCTTTAAACTATTCTGAAGCTAAAAATACCATAATTTTCAGAAGACAGACATGCTTAAGCCCTTCCCCATTTCCTGGGTTATGGCAACACTCAGAGGTAATCATCCACTCCGAAGTGCAATCTTTGCAATTCTGAATCGGGGCGGGTTAGAGGGGGCTCAATTCCTCTTCCCATCCTACCCTCCCATGAAAAGAACGTAAACCAGGAGAGAACCAGCCTGCACTACCTGTAGGTTATACAAACACTCTCGCCACCTAGGAAGAACTGCCCCACTGGAACCAAAGTCAGTATTCACTATTTTCTCTAAGTCAAGCCGTCCACCTTAGTCTTCCTGAGGCTACCTCCCAAGAGGAGACTGTCTACGGAGTTTGGGCTTACCAAAGACAAGATGCCACATACTGTTTGCAGGCTGGTCCCTGTATCAACAGGTTGGCTGGGATATCAAGGGCTGAGGTCAAGCCCACACTTGGTCCCCCAAGCCGGGCACCCTGATATGAAGCTGCCTTAGCTAGAGCACCACTGTCCAATAGGAAGTTTCTGCAATGATGTAAATGTTTTCTATCTGCTCTATCTGACACAGCAGCCACGAGCCACACGTGGCCACTGAGCCTTTGAGATGTGGCTACTGTGACTCAAAACTGAACTGTTAATTTTTAAGAATTTTAATTAATTTGAATGTAAATATAAACAGCACGTATTGCTAGTGGCCGTCTTGCTCTCACCCACACAAAGGTGCTGCTGGGTCTAGCAGTGGCCTTAACTACAGCCGAGACATGAGGTTGCTCATCACAGCATGGTTCATCACACCAAAGCCCTGGAGCAAACCTACATGCCCAGCAATTATTATTACAGAACCACAGAACAGGCCCACAAAGGAACACCATGAATCTGTGGCACAGCCTGCTGGTTTATCCCCATGCTACCTTCCCCCCTCCCCTAGAATAATAGTTTCTTATTTTCATGCAAATATATGGCTATCCAGGAAAAAAAAATCCCCCAAACCATTTTCCCACCTCCCTTGCAGCCAAGTATGGTCACACCTAGTGTGTCTATTGAGACTTTCTAGAACCTTCCTTAAAAGATAGTTGCCACATGCCTTTTGTCCTTTTTTTTTTTTTCTTTATTCTTTCTTTCTTCTTTTTTTCAACCTTGTTGAAGACAAAAGCGACATTGGTGCTCTGGTCACCATCATAGAACATGAAGACAAGGGCCATACCTTATACTAAGGTTTGGGTTAGTCTCCTCCACAACTCATGTTGAAATTTGGTTGCCAATGTGGCAGTGTTAGGAGGTGGGGCCTACTGGGAGGTGTCAATGCTGTTACGAAAAGGACTTTCTTTTGGCTCTTTGACTCTTTTGTCACATGAACAGCAGTGTTCCTTCCTCTAAAGCAGGGGTCCTCAAACTTTTTAAACAGGGGGCCAGTTCACTGTCCCTCAGACCGTTGGAGAGTGCGCACTGTGGGCCCGGGATGAGTCAGCTGCTAAGCAGGACAGGCAGCAGCAGCAAAAACACCTGGCAGGCCGGAAAAATGTCCTAGGTGGGTGGCATGTGGCCTGTGGGCCATAGTTTGAGGATGCCTACAAAGGATGCAACATTCAAGGCACTATCTTGGAAGAGACCAGGTTCTCAACAGACACCAAACTGCTAGCACCTGTTATTGGCCTTCCCAGCCTCCAGAACTGTCTGAGTCAATAAATTTCTGTTCCTAATAAATCACTCAGTCTCCGGTATTCTGTTATAGCAGCATAAAACAGACTAAGACACCCTAGAGAGCAGGAAGGAGCCTAGCTCCCCTAAAAACTCTGTGGAATAGAATTATATATACTCTGGATTTTTTTACTTCTACCTTGTTCAGCCATGACAAATTAAGTATTCCTAATCCAAAAATCTGAAATGCTCCAAAATCTGCAACTTTTTTGAGCACTGACATGACACTAAAAGGAAATGCTCACTGGAGCACTTCAGATTTTGGATTTTCAGATTAGGGACATTGAATCAGTAAGTATATCACAAATATTCCAAATCTGAAAAAATCTGAAATCCAAAACACTTCTGGTCTCAAACATTTCAGATATAGATACTCAACCTATATTATTTTGGGTCTCTATTAGTGAAACAATCCTGATAAAGCATCTATTAAAATGATAACATTGAGCTATATACTTACGATTTACCTCTTAAAAGTTAAATTAAAACAAAAACACAGCCCCAATGAAAGAAGCCAGACATAAAAAAGAGTACATATGTACAATTCCACTTATAATAATTCTAGAGAATGCAAACTGTAGGATACAGAAGCAGATCAGTGGCTGGAGGTTGGGGGTACACAAAGGGACATGTGGAGTTTTGGGGGATGACAGAAATGTTCTGTATTGTGGTGGCAGTTTTCATGAGTGCATGTACACAACTGTCAAATCTCACAGTGTTATATACTTTAAACAGATGCAATTATATGAATTATACTTAAAGTTGACCTTTTAAAAAGTAGACCTCCTTACTGATTAAGAGATTAATATAGCTAAGAGTTTGTGAAGGACATTCTGAAGGTAGTAAGAGGCACTGGCACAAAACAATTATGCACAATTCCTTCAAATTTTATTTTTACTTTATCCTTGTAGGGAGCTGTTTTCATATCTTTTTTTCCTAGTAAGTCAAATGCCCATGTTTTTTGAGTACCAAAAGATAATGCACATTTCTTTTTCTTTGCTAGTATGAGAAGGTTACTAAAGGCTGCTGATGTGAAAAAAGTAGAACACATTAAACTACTCAAATAGTAAGATCTAGTTTTTGTTTTAAAAAGGGGACATACACGTATGTACACAAGCTAAAAAGATGGGAAAGATATACAACAGACATTAACAGCAGTTATTTTTAGGATGTAAGATTGTTGGTGATTTTCACTTTCTTCTTTACACCTTTCTGTTGCGTGAAAGCACAGAGAATACAACTACTTTTATAATCAGAAAAAAACCCTAAACTATTGTTTATGTAATGGAAGAAACCTATGGCCATCCGTCTTTGCTGTGGCAGGCTCTGATGAGGGAGGGCTTTGTTTTATTCACAGTGCTTGGATGCAACATCAGAAAAGGCAGGTCGGGCGGGCGCGGTGGCTCACGCCTGAATCCTAGCACTCTGGGAGGCTGAGGCGGGCAGATTGCTCGAGGTCAGGAGTTGGAAACCAGCCGAGCAAGAGCGAGACCCCATCTCTACTATAAATAGAAAAGATTAATTGGCTAACTAATATGTGTAGAAAAAATTAGCCAGGCATGGTGGCGCATGCCTGTGGTCCCAGCTACTCAGGAGGCTGAGGCAGGAAGATCACTTGAGCCCAGGAGTTTGAGGTTGCTGTGAGCTAGGCTGACACCACGGCACTCACTGTAGCCTGGGCAACAAAGCGAGACTCTGTCTCCAAAAAAAAAGAAAAAAGAAAAAATAATAAAAAAAGAAAAGACAGGTTGTACATAGTAACCAAAGGACACCAGACTATGAGTTTCGAAACCCATCTTCACACTCCGATTATGCCAATATTTGCTACCCTCAAGTCATTCACTCTGTCTGGTCTGAGTCTCCTTAGCTGCACGATACAGTGGATATAATGATTGGATTCAGTAACGGCCAACTGCCTGTTAGCCTGTGCCTGTTTCTCAGGTTTCAAAAATCCCAGCTCTGACGTAACCCGACAGGAACGATGGTAACTGATCTAGCTCCAAAGGAGAAGGGGCACATGGAGGGGGTGATAAAGGGCCCTCAACCCTCCTTGGCCTCCATCTCCCACGAATCACATTCCCTCACGGTAGCAGGCACAGTTCGACTTGCAGGTGCCCTCCTAGCAAGAATGAAAAGCCATTCTACGTTCAGGCATGAGACCAGCATGAGGCTTTTCCAGGGCCCTCAATCTAGAATCACTCTTCTTCCCCAGCACCCTTTGTTCTGGACAGGATCTCACAGCTTCTCCATCAAGGACCAAAAGCATCCAGTCAACTTAAAAACAGCTTTGGAGCAGCTCAGACCAGCGCTGAGCAATCAGGCATTCGTGATGCCCCCTGCTGCCTGAGTGGTCATTAGTGTAATGAAGGACTATTAAAAACACATAAAAATCTCAACCAACAAAAATACACAAAGCCGCCAAAGCCAGCGTCTTAAACGTATTAGCAGGGCCTGCACATAATGGGAAGCATGCCCCACACAGGCACTTAGAAATATGCATGTGCTGCCTGGCAGCTCACGCCTTTAATTGGCTTTAATTTTGTAAATGTTCATTGCATATCGTGTCCACACATATATACATAATACTAATTCTAGAAAGTGGTTTTAAATTCTTACTAGAAAAAAAGATGTGCAATTTATGAGAAAGAGTGGGAAGGCATTCTTTCAATCTTTGCAATCCTCATCTGACAAAGGCTGGGGAATGCCAGATTGCCTAACTTCCTCCCCAGGTGCTCAAATTCCTGAAAAATGACCCAGGAGTAATTCAAAGGGGTATCCAAATAGAGAACTCTTCATTCTCCCCACCCCGTTTTTTTGTAGATGGCAGTGAAAGCTGTTCTGATTTGGAGGGAGGAAGGACCAGGTGGCTGCTGTAGCCCAGCTCCCTGCCTGCGGCTCCCACTGTCAGGGTAGACGGAGGGATAGTGACCCAGGCTTTAAAACGCAGGAGCCAACAAGTCAGAAGCACAAGTGCAGAAACTCTTCCCTTTACTTTGCAAACCACTGGCCCATAGAGGTTGCTTCTTTCATCAGATCTTTTCCCTCTAGAGGGCAAAGATAAAACTATTCTAAGAACAACCTCTGTCAGCAGCAGATTATTTTTTTCCTTTGACAAGAACAACCAGCCAAACTAGCAGAGTAGCATAATTCAGGGGGAACAAGTTCCCATTCCAGGATAATGCACAGGAGAAACACACCAATGATTAGAATCATTCGCTCCTGGGCAAAGCCCTACAATTAAGGAACTCTCCAAATGCTTCCCAAATACCGATGCTGCCAACTTTCCAAATATCAAAACAGCACAATTTCCCCATATTTACAAGTAAAAGCACATCATGAGTAAGAAAGGAGCTGCACCACCCAGGAAAGGCCACAGCAAAACAGGAAGCTACAAACAAGGCTCTCAATTCACTATTCTTTGCTGAAGTGAGTGCGCAGAACACAGAGCCCATTCTTCAGGATGAGATTCAGTAACGCTAACATTTGCCTTGCTTGATTAACTCCTCTCCTTGAGTAGAAATGACAAGGCTGACTTTACCTTAAGAGCACCACAGAGTTCAACAGTGTCTGCATCATCAACGACAGTAATTCGAAAATTTGGAGTCTGGAGAAGTTCTTTGAAAAGAAGGCCATTCTCCATTACTTTGCTGCCTAGTGAAAGGTTAGGAAAAACGGAAATTAGTAACACTTTAAAACAACTTTTTCTTATTATAAAAAGCAACATATGTTCATTTCAGAAAACTTAGAAAATGTATAGGAGCAGAAACAGAAAATAAAAACATCCCACAATCCAACTAGAGATGATCATTTACAATTTGATATACATGTTTAACTTACTGAAAGTAAATATAAACAGTTTTTCTTAAAGCTGGGAATGTAACATATATGTGGGTTTCATAATCTGCTTTCCCTAAATTCCAGAAGATGGAAATGCAGTGAGAGTCCTTGTTTTTGTTACTGCTATATTCCCCTTCCTTGGGACAGTGCCGAGGATATGATGTTCGGTAGTTTTTACACATTTTTGTTTGCTTGTTTGTTTTAGTGACCTTTGATTAAAAAACAAAAACAAACAAAAATAAAACATTATGCCCAGGCCCGGTGGCTCATGCCTGTAATCCTAGCACTCTGGGAGGCCCAGGCGGGAGGATTGCTTGAGCTCAGGAGTTTGAGACCAGCCTGAGCAAGAGCAAGACCCCATCTCTACTATAAATAGAAAGAAATTAGCCAAACAATTAAAAAATTAGCCGGTCATGGTGGCGCGTGCCTGTAGTCCCAGCTACACAGTGTAGGAGGCTGAGGCAGGAGGATCGCTTGAGCCCAGTTCTGTCTCAATCAATCGATCAATCAATAAAACATTATACATTAAGCCTGATGTGAAATCTGCTCAGCTTGGTGGGGTTCAGGGTGAGGCTAAGCAAACCCACCCTCCTCCCAGCTCTGGGAGTGCTCTGGAAATCAGGGCCATGAGGCTTACCAGCCAAGTCCCGGCTCCCAAATCCATGTCACCATAGAGATGGCAGAAAGCACACCTAGCACTTGGGCACTTGGGCTCTGCCTGCCTCGAGGTAGGAGACCAGCTGTCCCCAAGCTTGTCTGCACACAACAATCATCTGGGCTTCTTTAAAAACACCAAATCCCAGCCCATATCTCAGATCAACTGAGTCACAGTCTCCGGAGTGGAGCAGGCTGCAGTAGTTTTTGGAGCTCCCCAGGTGATCCCAATGGGCAGGCAAGTGTGTAATGAAACAATCCTCCTCTAGCCTCAGCTTCCTCGCCAGTAATACTACGGCACAGTTAAATAAGAATCATACATGATGTTTCTGAATGGTGGCCATTAAAAAAAAAAAAAGAATCATCTGTGAAAACAGTCTTTCAGTCATAAGGAGCACTCGGAGACCCCCACACAATGACGATGGAGTCAGCTGGCATTTGACTTGCTTAGGATTATGTTTTTCTCTGCTTACATACAGGGACACGGAGGTCCAGAGAGGTTTACCAACTTGCCGTGCCCACACAGCTAGTAGGAGGCAGAGCTCAAATTCTAACCCACATGCCCACATGCGCTCTGGTCTCCAGGGCCCATGCTCTCTATGCTATGCCACCCCTTGGGGATGGGAGGGGAGAAGATAAACAAATAAAAAAACAAACAAACATCACAATTAGAGCTAGACACCTCCAGTGCAGAAAAAGCATGGTTGTCAACAAGTACACCCATAAGTGGTACAATGTCAAACTAGCCCGGGGGACAGTAGAGTCAGGGTGGGGGGTATACATAAAGTAAGACTGGCCGGGAGTTAATCATTTCTAAAGATGGGTGATGGGGACATGGGGTTTGTGATACTGCTCTATCCACATTTTTAAAAAGTTCCATAATAAAACACTTCAAATATCTACACCTAATACTTAGAAACACATTGTCTACTCTACAGGCATTACTGTTATCTGTCATGTAGCGGAGTTTTCCTTTTCCAAATACGGGAACTGTGTCACAGCGAGAAAAAACTCCCCCCCCCCTTTGAAAAAGGGCACAACACCCGGTCAAGGTGATTCTGTGCAACACTGTTTCGCCATCTGGGTTGGGTACACTAGCCCCTGGCCCCTGCATCATACCACATCGTCCCTGTGCCTCTCCTCTGTACCTGCCCCCTGTTCAGCGTCCCCAACATGAGGGACGCTTGTGTGCATCACAGGCAAGCCCCTCTCAAGCCTCCTTCATCCAGCTGTCTGCAGCTGGAAACCTGAGCTGCTGCTGTGAGCAGGCCGAGGAATGTGAGGGGGCAGGTGCACCCTCTGCTGCTATTAATAGGAGGCAGGGTCTATGCGTTCCTCTGTGGTTGCAAATAATACACAGTCTCCATCAGAGAGGTGGGCTGGACTTACAGCAGTCCCACGTTTTCTCAGATATACCTTTCAAAAGTTATTATTTTAAATCATGGATAAGAAAGCACTAACTTTTTTATTACTACCAGTCATAAAGTGACATGGCACAGAACAGGTAATGCCCGAAAACCACACGGGCATACAGCTCCCCCAAACTCAGTATGAACCACAAGACAGGAAACTCCCTTTTCTTTTGTGGGGGCCAAGGCCTTGGGCCTTGGGATGGGGGGGGGTTCATGGAAAATCACTGACATGAAGCAGATTGATCAACAGGAGAAAAGGCATGCAAATTTATTTAACATGTATACACGGGAGCCTTCAGAATGAAGACCTGAAGACACAGGGGGAATTGTCCATTTTTATGCTGAGGTTCAACAAAGTATGGACAGCCATGTAGAAATATGACTGGACAAAAAGGGTCATGGTCTAGTGCTAAAAGACTGAGTGGGGAGACCCAGCAAGCCTGTCTGTCTGGATTCTTCTTGGCCTCTCTGAGCAGCTTTCCTTCCTTCTAGGTGTGGGGCAAGACCCTCTCTGGAATGGGGGTCTTATGATCTAGAGTCCAACAAGGTAGACCAGATAATTTCTTTATGGCCAGTTTTACACAGAACATTTTTAGGTTTTATGGGTGGCTTTAAGGAAAAGGGGTTCTGGTTTTTACAACCTATCTCGGGGAAGAGGGATTCTACTTTCTATGGCTACCCTGGGGGGAGAATGGAACAGAGACAGAAGGACAGGAGAAGGTCAGAGAAAAACTTTTGCTTCTGAGGCTGCTTCCAGGGCCTTCATCTTGGGGTACTGTTTTCTGAGCCCCAATATCATGTCATATCAAGTTTAGAGGCAACCAACTTATTTAATAAAACTCCTTCAAAACCCTTTTTTCAGTCTGTGACTTCACATTTGTGTGCTTAGAAGCTCCATAAGAAGCTTATGTATCCTAGACATTTAGCACCATGCCTGGTACATAATAATAGGCTTTGAAAAATATTTGTGGAATGACAATAAAAGTCTCACTCTGCCGTGTGCCCCAACAATGAAGGGAGCTTTCACCACAAGGGGGCGGTGTAGCTCACATCACAGTATTTTTAAGACAATGAAACTGACATTTTTCCTTCTTCCTCCACATAAGACTCAAGTGGGCCAAGATTCTGAAATCTACCATAATTAAAAATGAGCTGGTCCCTGATGTCATTAAGGAAGGAGATCTGGATAACTATACCACAAATATCAAATACACAAAATTTAATGTTGATACAATATTATTATCGAATATATAATCCATAATCAAATCTCACCTATCGCCCCCACACTGCCTCATAGCAACTCTCCCTCCCCCACCCAGGATCCCAAAGTGCATGTAGTGGTTACATCTCTTTAGTCCTCTTTAATGTGGGACACTCCTCAGCCTTTCATGTCTCTCATGACATTGACGGTTTTGAAGACTATAAGCCAGTTGTTTTGTAACATGTCCCTTACTTTGAGCTTTCCTGATATTTCCTCATGATTAAATTCAGGTTATATAAAACAATTTTTAAAATATCATCTTCACGTTCTATCTCACTTCTGTTTCACTTAAATTAATGCAGGTCACCCGTGCCCACCACAGTTAACCCACACAGAAGGCACAGAAGTATTGAGTAAACAGAAGCCAGAGCTAAAGAAAGGTCACCTGTGTGCATCTGCCTGCCTTTATAACCAGGAAAGCCCAATGCACCTAACTGCAAACCTTCTCACAACAGACAGGGAGGCTAGGAAAAACCCTAGCCAAAATCCGCAGCTAGATACAAAGTTTAAATCAGAGACTGGAGATTAAGTCTCAGCTTTACAGAATGAGCCAGTAACCAGTCACTTCCAGCCAACTGGAAAAATTATTGGCAAATAGGATGAGTTGGAACAACCATTTAATAATATTTTGAAAAATAGAAGTCATTACATAACAGCTTCACAGGCTATGTTAAAATTGCAGATGGGTAAAAGAATTAACTGTAAAAGAATAAGACATACACATACATAAATGTGTATACTAGTATAGGTATACATTTTTTTTCTAGAAGGATATTTGGAAACTGCTAACAATGATTCTCTCTGGGAGGAGGGAATTGGGGTGGAAATTACCACCTTAGTTCTAATTTTCTACCTTCTCATAGTGTTTGAATTTTTTTTTTAACGTGTGTCTGTATCACTTTCGTAAGTGTTAAGTGGGCAGGCGGTATTGTAGGCCATTCTCGTTTTCTTCTTTATATTATGTGTGATTCCTCTCCTCTCCAGAAAATATTATTTCTCAAATAGTGTATGACTTACTACAAACATAAATGAATAGTTTATACAAATAGAAAAAAGGATATATAACAAAATAATGAAAATTAAAATTTTCAAATGGCTTTCTTTTATCTCTATTTTTCATAATAATGATGCAAACTACATAATTAAAAATAAAAATTAAAGGGAAAAATGCAAAAAAAACTAAAAATGCCCTACCTATGGGCAAGTATAAGAATCTGGAGTTGGCTGGCGTGGTGGCTCATGCCCGTAATCCTAGCACTCTGGCAGGCCAAGGCAGGAGGATTGCTTGAGCTCAGAAGTTTGAGCAAGAACAAGACCCCACATCCCTACCAAAAATAGGAAAAATTGGCTAGGTGTGGTGGTATGAAGATGCAGTCACAGCTAATAGGGAGGCTGAGGCAGGAGATACCTTGAGCCCAGGAGTTTGAGGTTGCAGTGAGCTATGATAATGCCATTGCACTCTACCAAGGGCAACAGAGCAAGACTCTGTCTCCAAAAACAAAACAAGCAAAAAGGAATCTGGAGCTACATTTTCCTGTACACCCCATCTCACTCCAGAGCTTCAGAGCTTCCTTTTACAAAGCTGCCAAGGAGTCAAGATTTCCACTGCTTGTGTGTTTGACAGGGATAGAAGTAAGTTCTGCACTGATAGATAAAACTTAAACTTTTGCAAAGCATTTGAAAATACAGTAGTATACTCTTCCAAAAGTGTATACTTTAATATGGTGCATGGACACTTGCGAGTTCTTAAAGCTCCTTTTAAAAGAAATGAACATTTTCACAACATAAATGTGAGAATAGTATCTCTAATCCACAATGGATAAGAGTAGGAAAAGCTTATTATTTCAGGAAACAGGGGACCCACATTTGTGCCTGGGTTCTGTATTAGTGTGTGACCTCAGGACAGGTCATTTATTCTCTGAGTCTTGGTTATTCACCTGAGAATGGGGTCATGCCCACCAATTCTTAGTTCTCATTGGAATCAAAGAGGATCCAGATACGAGCGTCTGTGAGAGGAGAAGAGCCGGGTTTCCAAGGCCAGGGGACCTCACCATGGATGTAGCCACCGGCTTCTTGCTACAAGCAACCTTGCACTTGTATTTAAGCTTGATAATTAATTACTGGATCATGGCGACTCAGAATAGTCTCCTTGGCTTTAATTCATTCTGAAGGTTGTTGAAACACTTCAGTTGCACAGAATGGCCTACTTACATAAAACCCCCACCCCACTGAATGCCCACCTTAGGAATGTTATGGAGGGCAGGGGAGAGCCACTATAGAAAATACCAGAAATGGAAAATGTACATGCTCTAAGACCAAACGTCCAGACTCCTGGGCCCCTCCCTAGGCAGCCCTTACCGATGGTCGTCTCACAGAACTTCTCTGCGGCTACTTCATTGGCAATGTTGGCTCCCATCAGCACACTGATGTCAATGCCCATCTTCTCCCGGATGATGTCGGAAATGAGCTTCAGCCCCTCAGGGCCCTCATCTATACCCTGTACGGATGTCCGGAAGTTAGGGGAAAAGAAACCACCAAATCAAAGAGGCATAAAGATAGCTGCTTTATAAATAATCTAGACTCAGATACCCAATGGCATATGCAACTTGAAAACTATCTCCTACTTGCAAGAGCAAATACAACTACTGCATATGTACTGTTTACAGAATAATAAATGAAAAGAATAAAATAAACTTGCTCCTAACACACAGGTTAAGAAACAGAACATGACTGACACTACTGAAGTCCAATGTGTGTCTCCCCTCAAGTTCATCTTTCCTCCTTCCATCCCTCATTCCAGGGGGAACCACCACACTGAATGCTCTATGCCTCACTCCCTTGCTTTTGTGATCATTTTGCCACAAATAATGGTCCCTACACAGTTTTATGTCATTATGCCTGTTTCTGAAAGTCTATAAATAAAATTGAACCATTCATCTGTGAGTGCTGTCTTATACTATATTATAATTTTAGAGATTCACCCATGTGGCTGTATAAGTGTTCTAGTTCATCCCTGTTTGCTGCTGCATAGTATTCTAAAACAAACAGTTCACAATTCCTTTATTCATTCTATTGCTGATGGACATGTAGGTTGCTTCAGTTTGCTTTCATAAACATTCCTTTACAAACACTCTAGAACAGAGTCTCTGTAGGGAACTCTTAGTCTTTTTTATAACATGGACCCTATTCTTGGCAGTCTGGTGACGTTTATGGACTCATTCTCAGAATCTCATATGCATGAAACAATATGCCTAAAATTACCTAGGAAACCAATTATTAACATATTATAATATAGTTATCAAAATGTTAAAAAAACAAACTCATGATAAAGTATTATGCACAATGTTTCATTAATGCAGTTATTAATAGAAAAATGTCATGGCAGGTCCAATAATTACCATAATTTCCAAGTGTGAGGACCACACATCATACCTAGAGATATTGGAAACTATTGTAAAGGGAAATGAAAGTCCTGTGATTTCTATTGACAACAGTGTCAGAGGTCCTGCTAATACTCCCGTTGTTGGAACTCTGGTTGTGAACTCCCGTTGTTGGAACTCCACATTCATAAATGAAGGAAATGCTCATTTTAGTTAGAGGTTAGAAAGAATTAAAAAAGCAAGGTTTCCCCCCACATTTAAGTACATGAACCTCCTGAATTCTATCTATGGACCTTTGGGGTTGGCTTGTGGACTTCCGGTTAAAACTCCCCACTTTAGGAGTGGGTACCCAGGAGTGGGAACTGCTGGTGATTAATTCTCCAGCTAATGCAAACCACTGGTGATTCCCAGACTGCAGGCGGAGCCCCTGCATGGACTGGAAGGTCCTGGCAGTGTGACCTGTGTCCCATCCTCACTCTGCTGCCACTGCTGCCGAGGACCTGCTGCAATGGAAAGCAGCCTGCTCCTGAATTTGAGCTAAATGAGGCTTGTGCGATGTGTGCGTGTGTGTGTGTTTGTGTGTGTGTGTTTTATTACCTTTCAGGCATCTTCAAAAACACAATAAAAAAATGGCCACAACCTCCCCTTCAGCTCCACATGTCAAGCAGACGAAAGTGAGAGGAAATGGAACTTTCTGGTTACCAGTGTCCAGTGTTCCTCCCCAGACTCCCCCTCCCCCGCCTGCCCAGTCTGCCTGCGCTCGGTTACCTTGATGAGGGTGATTCCCAGCGCGTCCTTGGGCACACGCCCGGTGATCTCGTCACAGATCCTGTGGATGAACTGGTGGGGAATGACAAACACCAGCAGGTCCGCATCCTGCACGGCCTCGCTGAGATTCGGGACGGCAACCTGCAACCACGAGGCAGAGGAAACGGTTACTCCCATAGCGAAATCTGCCTGTCCACAAGGTTTCGTGCACGGCCCGTTTATCAGATGCCAGAGCGCTGTGCAGACAGACAAGAACAGCAAGGGTGGTGTTTTCCTCCTGCCTCAGCCTCCTGAGTAGCTGGGACGACAGGCATGCGCCACCATGCCTGGCTAATTTTTTCTATATATATATATTAGTTGGCCAATTAATTTCTATTTATAGTAGAGACGGGGTCTCGCTCTTGCTCAGGCTGGTTTTGAACTCCTGACCTCGAGCAATCACCCGTCCTTCGGCCCTCCCAGAGTGCTAGGATCACAGGTGTGAGCCACCACGCCCGGCCTGCCTTCCTTACTCTTTATTATGGGGGTCTGAAGCCAGGAGGGTTCTGCCTCTGTCACCAGCTGGCCAAGTGACTAACCCTCTCCATCCCCCAGTCGCCCTGTCTGTAAAAGGCAGTCACGACAACACTGTGGGGGCTGCTGCTCTCCCACCACCCCACCCCTGCCAAACCATGTCCTGCTCTTCTCTGCCCCGCTCCGCTCCCCGGGAGGCTGCTTTCTGCAGACTGTCTCCCCAGACTCCCTTGCTCTATGGCTTCCAGCTGGCTTCAGCCAATGGGGGGCACTATCAGGAGGTCAAGGGGTGAGAGGAGAGATATCTGAGACAGTCGGGTACTCAGCCTGCGCAGGCTGGCAGTGGTCCCGGCCAGCTTCAGTCTGCGGTTATGCCTCCTGCCAGGCAGCCCCTCTCGGGTCTCTGAGCCTGCTTGGCTGGCTTGGTAGCATGTTCTTTCCCAAAACTGTCAGGGCAGGCAACGCTTCCTGCTGCTGCTCATCTCTGAGCCTTCACCAACCCCATCGGCCCCTTGCTTCTGCCCTTGTGGCACCTTTGCCCATAGGTAAATGGCCCATACTAAACTTCCTTGCAGAGCCTGCTGTGAGGACTAAATGCTACAAACAGCGTCTAGCACCTGGTCTGCACTCGGTCCATGTCAGCATGATGACATTTCCTTCCCTAAGGACAAGATGGGTTTAACGCGGGCAGAGGCGAGGTATATATGCAGTGAGGACACCAGGCACGTGGTCCCTAGCAGAGACCCCTCTTGCCATCCAGTGTCTGTTCTGCCCTCTTTCTCAGCAACAGAACCCCAGTTTTGAGCCAGGCTCCTGAATGGCAAGAAAGCAAGCTGCCTTCCCAGCCCCCTTGCAGCTGCTATATCGTGCGGCCAAGTTCTGACCCACGCGGTGTACATGCAAGTGCTGCCTGTGAAATGTCCTGGGAGATCTCTCCTCTTCCTCTTGCCAGAGGAATGTGAGGAGACGGCTGGAGTTCACGAAAAGTCATCTTGGACCATGAAGAAGAGACCGCATGCTGAGAAGGCAGGATAAAAGGCATCCCTGACACCACAGTGCTGCTGTACTAACCATCAATGCTGCTTACGTGAGCGAAAAATGCACATTTATTTTGCTTATGTCACTGATATTTGAGGTTTGTAGTCGCATGCAGCTAAACCTAACTATAATTGACATAGTTCCCATGAAACATGCTTGCTTCTCAAACTGAAGAGCCTTGATGAAGATCCTTCTCTGACGCGGTGGCTCACGCCTTAATCCTAGCACTCTGGGAGGCCGAGGCGGAGGATTGCTCGAGGTCAGGAGTTCGAAACCAGCCTGAGCAAAAGCAAGACCCCCATCTCTACTAAT